CCACGTATATTATTTTTTTATGTATAATATATACAAATGATAAAAAATCGAAATAACAAACTTACAAATAAAAAAAGGCAAAATTGCTTCGAAAAGTGGCACATCTTTAGAGGTTGGAAGCATGGATGTAAGGTCTGTAATGAATGCAATCACCATTCACATCTGTATTGCAAAACATGCAAAAAGGTGGTGGATAGAATATATAAGCAATGCGGATGTGAAAATTTTTTAAGGAAAGAAACGATAAGTGAAAGCTTCACTATTTCATAATACAGTAGTTTCAAGTTCTTAACTCATCTATTGTATCCTCGAATCATTAAATAAAAATAAATTTCTGTCACGAACTTACATGACGATCAATGCTGAATGATATAATGATACCTTACTATAACATTGATGTCACACCTCTTCAGGAATAGTTTTTTAATTTTCTATACGCTTGAATGACAATAAACAAATCCGTAACATAAATATTTTAAATAAATCATAGTTCTGGTCCCGCACGCAGAATTTTTTTATTTGAATTCTGGAAAATACAATATTGGTATTGTTATTTATCATGTAACAATACGTGACCTATTGTATGACAATCTGATTGTTTGTATAAACTATAAAAAGGTAGAATGTACAACTATTTCTTACTAAAAAATTTTTCATCCTATTCAAAAACTAAATTCGTAAATATGTCTACTTCTACCAGAAAAATAATTTTACTTCCTACAATCAATGAAGTTGAAGGATATAAGAAAATGAAGGCTCTGATAAAATTTTTAGACGATCAAGATATAGAACTGGATGATGATGATTTCAAAATTCTTCGTAAACAAAAAGTTGATGGTGAAATGTTTCTCAGGATGAACGTGGATAAACTAATGCAAGATGGTTTAAGACGAGGACCAGCTGAAAAAATCTCTGGATTGATTGAAAAAATCAAGGGCAAAGGACAGGGTAAGTAGTACCATGACTGCATTCGAATATTCCAAACCTATACTGCTTTCTCCGCAATAATTTTAGTTATTTATTACCTTGTTATTTCATTTATAGACGTACTAAGTTCTCGAGAGCAGACATTGTATAATAAGGTGCTAGACCTGCGAGCAAAACTTGCAACCTTGTAAGAGAATCTTTTTATAGTATGCAAATTGTTATAGTGAAATAATTTCGATATAACTAATAACGTTTGCAATGCAGTTCTTCATCGGCTACTAAGTGACATTTTTCTGACTTGGATAACTATAAAGAAGGTTAGTTGTATAGTATATGTTTGCTTTTATAGAATTCTTGTCATTTCAACTTAAACTTTTCTGATCTTTACAGAACAGCAAAAAAACGTAAAGAAGATTCGAAGTTATCCTGCCCTGTCAACTTTCACACTTCTTAACAATTTTATAGATTATCAAACTAAGGACTAGCAGTTACTTATTCACCGCCCTTCAGAATATGTTGGTCCATCGGTATGAGTTTACTATAATGTTTTCAATCAGTTCCTGCGTGATTACCATAATAAAGAGCTAGAAATGGAAAAAGAACATTATAATTGGACTCTTGAGTTTATTCATGAAATGGCGAAATAAACCGGAGTGAACCTGAACGTCAGCAAGTGTTTAACAAAAAAATTCGTAAACTATTTAGTGAAGAATTAAAAGTAATTCATTTAGATGATAATTCTTCAAATGATGGAGTATTGGAATGTAACGTCTATTCAAAAAGTGTGTTATGCCTTCTTGTTGAGATGAAAAATAAAATTGGTACTGGTGGCTGTGATCCAACTGTCCAGGCTGAGGCTTCTTATGCAAAATATTATACCCAAAAGAAAAATGGGGAAATGCTCCAATGGTGCAACTGGCTATCTTTTCTTTTATGCTTGGCTAGACCTTGGGTATGTATTTTAGAGGCTGTATATGTTGAGAAACCCATTATAGATCCTTTGACGGACTTCATATCTCTCATTTCTACAAACAATCGCTCACACAGAGCAAGTGGCATGGCTTTTCAAAGCCTTGCACTTGGAAGTTAATAAGTTAACAGAGTATTATGGATTGTTAGATGCACCTACAGATCCACGAAATTTACACCAATTTTTTCCCTATCCGAATCAATACGAACAACAAAATACAATTGTGGAATTTACATATGAGAGAAAACTTGTGGATCAACCCAACAAGCTTCTTTGAAAATCTATAACAAAAGACGGGTGGAAAATTATTGTTAAATTCACATGGGATTACAATCAAAGGGCACACGAACTGTGTAGTGAAATTGGAAAGGTGCCAAAATTACTCTACATTAACAAAGAAGTGGTAGATAGATTTTATATAGTAGTTATAGATTACGTTGAGGCCGAGCAACTTTACGAGTGTGACTTACTTAGTTATGATGAATATAAAGCGGTTTTCAAGGACATCAAAGAAGCTATTGACAAACTGCATAAGGAAAATATTGTCTTTGCTAACCTCCGCGATTCCAACATTTTGGTTAACAAATTTCAAGGCCAGTATTGAGGAATGTTAATAGATTTTGATTGGGCTGGTGAAGAAGAAATCGCGCATTATCTATCTTTTATGAATCATAAACATATTAATTGGCCACCAGGGGCTGAAGATAGGAAGAAGCTGAGTCGTAAACATGATGTTTATTGGTTAGAGCTGTTGAAATCTAAATACTTGGGTGAGAGTATAGAGCTCGAATAATTAGTTAGTATGGTGTTTGAGGATAAAGTGGAAAACAAACAATTTTATATAACAAGCTGTGCAAGTTGTGCATGTATTCAATATAATTTGTTTTTAATAACCTAATAATAAACGAATTCTTGAGTAAATCATATTCATATGTTTTGGTAATAATGCATACCTATCTCTCTTGGCTTTGTCTATAGGCGTTTATTCTTTGAACACGTTTATGCATACTTCTGCGAAAGTATTTTTTCAAAGTTCTTATAATCGTGAGTTATTTTTAATAGCTATCAATGATGGGCAAAGTCAATAAACAATAAAATTTACATTAAGTTTCTAGTAATAGTACTTGGTACTGGAGATAGAATTTATTCGTTATTCTGTATTCTATTTTATTTTTTTGCTGTATTAATTAAGCTAGTCCCAGTGGCTCGATTTCACATACATAATCGTGTTTACTTTTGCATGTGTATTTCGTGGATTTGTTTTATTGTATTGATATCGATGTATATTAACTCACATATTGTCAAGAATTTTTAGCACCAAAGGTGCGCCTCTTTGAGACAAAAATATTTCTTGGTAAAAGTGATTTTATTAAATAAGTTTTAAACAAATATATATCTTATAAAAATATTATCGAACATGCATTCCGAATTAGATTTGTTGAAAACCCACATTGCTGAGCTTGAGGCTAAAAATGCAGAGCTTAGGCAGACCATAAAAGAAAAATCTGATCTTGAGACTGAGAATTCCAAGTGTAAAGCTAAAAATGCTAAACTTAAAGGTGAAGTAGCGAAATTAAAACATGATATCGAGAAAATCAAACTACAAACCCGAGTTAATACTAATGAACAGGATGCATCTCTTATTGAAGATATTTCACAATCCTCAGCTTGTTTAGAATCACCGGTAACCCTTGAGGCCCAAAGGAGCACTAAAGGGACATCCTCCAATTTACTGCCTATCAAAGATCTCTCTAATAAGAAATATAGTGTTAGCATCAGCCTAAGCTAGCTAAAAGCTAAACCCGCATCATTAGAAGATAAGGAGATCGATGAAGTTCTGGATTCAAAGTATAAGGAAAAGGTTAGTGAAGAGATAATTCAGAGCATAAAGGAAAAAAAGCTTTGTAAACAAGACTTATCTTTAGTTAATCAAATGAAATCTGAAAAGATGATACCTCAATCATGTGATATAAAAACCATGACAAAATATCACGATCAAAATTATATGCTTGACAATTCTGATATTATCTCTATTGAAATATCTGAATCTGACAATCAAATCGTAGAAGGTTTAATACAAGAAATAACCTGTAATCAAACACAAAGCATTGTTTCTTCCAAAATCAACTCTATATCTTCGAATAAGTCTTGTATACAGGATATAATTCCAGGCTCTGTACAAAGTTTATCAAACTTATTTGATAAAGCAATTAAATCAGGTCAGAAACAAATTTTATGTTGGTATTATTATTCTTTAGAATTCGAAAATAAGATTAAAAGCCTTATGGCAGATAGTAAGATTAAAGATAAAACAGCAAGATCAAAAATATATAAGGAAATGAAACCTTTTCTACCTAATATTACAGATGTAAATTTGCATAAGAAAACTGAAAGAGCTCGAAAAATTCTTAAACTATTTGGTAAAGGAGGTGTAGGTATAGATAAAATCAATTATATTACATATAGTGCAAGTACTATTTTGGGATTGAAAGATACTCAAATTCAATATATCATAAATCAGGTGATATCAAAAATCATGACAAAATGTCATGATTAGAATAATTGTAAATTTACCAAAACCCTTATCCCTTTAGGTCTAGACAATTTACTAAAAGCTAAAATATCAGAAAAGTCTTTATTAGAAGCTTAAGTAAGTGTATTATTTATATTTTCATCTAATCTGACCCATGATTATATTTATTTTTATAATAAAATATTAGACCAGTATTCTAATATATATAGAAAATTTAGTAGTAAAAAATTTAATTATTATAGACTTATTGATAATTTGTTATATCTAGCATGCAAGTTGAGTTATAAAGATAAAAAGAGTATAAGAGGTAGATATGAAGCTGAATCCTGTTTTATTAAATATGAGTGGCATAAAATTAAAATCACAATATAAATAAATAATTACATAAACTTGAACAAGTTGATAGTAATATTTTTTCTTGATGTTTATATGATTTTGAATTGACTTGTATTAATATAAAACAATAACATGTTTTTTAATACTACCTCTAGCAAGATATTAACTAATAACCATTGTAAATAGTATGCTAATTTAATTAATTTACCAAGTTCTCAAACAGATAAAATTTGTTCTAGATTATATAAAGCATATATAAAAGAAACTGGATTTGATTCTTTAAAACTTTTGAACTTACCAAATTGTAAATAACAAAAATAAAAAAAAGATACATATATTATTTATAAGCAAAAATGCATCTCTCAATTCTTATTTTTCAATTTTTATCTTGCTTGATAATCTAGTAGAAAAACAAAATCTTGTTATTTATATTATATTGAAGCAATTCAATAAATTTTTTTTTTTTTTGAAAATTCAGCAATCTTGCTTCAACTTTATTAGAATAATTAATATCATTCTAGTAAATATTAAAATTTTTTGAAAGAAAAATCCTATCAATACCTAAATTACAAGTTTCAGCTCATCCGGTTATCCAATGGACACCTATGTGTGATCTGCTATAAACAAAGATTTTCCTCTATAAAATTTCTTTCTGCAATCAAAAGAAAAAATATATCACCAGAAGGTTTCTGC